TCCAGCAACCCAACAGACCCCAGCGAGGAAGGTGACCGGCCCATGCTGACCACAAAGCCCACGGGGCCTGGTGGCTTCAGGAGGTCAAGCAAGGAGAGTTGCGGCTCTTTCTGTTTCAAGGAAAATCCACCCTGTGTAGTTTTCATTGTAGGGAAGGGAGAACAGACGGTAACCACAGGAATCTACATGTGTGGCTACTGTTTAGGAGGAAAGTTAATGGGCGTGAGGATGAGGCGCACATTGAGTGGCTTACTCACTGAGAAGGTGGCTCTGCCGAGACGCTAAGGAGATGGGCTGTGATGAGGCCCCCTGGAAGCGCGTCCCAGGTGAGGAAGGCCCAGGTGAGGATCAGCAGGTCCTGAGCCTGAGGATGGGTGTGCTGGAAGGACAGGAGGGTGACAGGAGACGTGGGTCTGGCCTATAGGGCCCCAGGCCTACCAAGTGTTCCGTCACCCCCGGGAGGGTCTAAGCTGGAGAGAGAAGTGACCTGATAAGGTGTTAAATGCACTTCGGCAGCCACTGTGCTAGGAACAGCCTCTTTGTGTGTCTGCGGGTGTGGTAAGAGATGAAGAATAATGCATCATTCAGCAGGAAATGAGGCAGCAGCTGGGGATGGCTGGTGCAGGTGGAGACAAGATTTGGCACTGGACACGCTGTGGGACAAGACCCGACCCCCAGGGCGGCCGAATGCACGGCAGCAGCAGAGCGTTGGACCCAGCCTGGGTCCCCTAAAGCAGCCCCACGCCTGCACATCCACTCACCGGCCTGCGGCAGACAGGGCTCCCAAGAGGGGCGGCTCTGACACCCCTCCCTGCTCTGTCATGTCCAGGATGCTCTGGGGTGCTTGAAGACAGGTGTGCATGTCCGTGCAGACAGCCGGGGAGGCCCTGCACTCCTGTGATGGTACAGGGTGCCCAGCCTCCCAATACCTGAACTCCCTGACCCAATATTCTTGATGTGGTTTTCACAGTGTATTTTGAGCCTGGGGTGCCTTCTGGATGCCTCCAGAGAAGCACGCCACAGGAATTTGTGGAAAGCTGGATGTCCCAGCTGGAGGGAATAGTTGGTTCTGTCGTATCACAGAGAGCTGACTCAGGGAGAATTGGGGCGTGTGAACAAGAATTTGAACAAAAAGATAAAGTTCGGCCGAAGAAATTCACCATTTCAGGGAAATAGGAATGAAATCGTCAGGTGGGATGTGACAAAGCTAATAGCAAGGAATTTCCAGGAGACCATGGACTTCCTTTCAAATATGACAGAAAATTCGAGTAAGGGAAAGACTAGAGAATACTCACTGGATTTGCCCACATCTTAGGTAACTTGTGAGTTGAAAGAAATGAGTGAAGACTACAGAAAATGTGTGAAAGAATAGTGGAAATATCTGCTATAAAATGTAACCTGCAGGGGGCCCCTGGGGTGCGGGGCTAAAGTCCCAGCACTACCAAGCTATGGCTGGCCACTGCGGCACCAGAGTTACCCCAGCCAGGGAGCTGCTCCCCTCAGCAGTGTATTTCAGTAGATTTGCCTGTTCTGCTCCACACTCTGTCACCTCCTCACACCTCTGGCCTGTACCCCAGTTCGTGTATGCATTAATAATTTTTTTTAATCTTAAAAACAAATCTGATGGACTCTTGCATGGACACTTACTACAAAATATTTCCTTGGTCCATTGCTTTTTTGTTTGAGCTGTGTATGTCTGACCATTCCTGTCTTTCACAGTTTATCAAGAAATGGGAGATACAGAACTTGAGACCAGCTGGATTCAAAGTTGCCTACAGGCACTCAGCTTCCAAGAAATGCTCACCCTAGAGGCAGTGAGGGTCCCAACTGGCCACTGAGCTGCAGAAGATGGGAGCCCACACATGGCAACAGTAAATGATGTTATCCAAGTCCTTTCTCCCTCTTTTCTCAGCTGCTTTCGCCAGTGTCTGAGGAGTTCTCTTTTCCTTTTGTGTGTGTGTAGAACTGGGTTGCAGGTGGGAAGGGAAGGTGGTGAAAGCAGTAACCAGATAGTAGGGAGAACAAGATTGACTGAAATACACTGCTGAGGGGAGCGGCCAGTGAGAGGGTCAGTCACAGGATCACTGTGACTTAACCCCTAGGCCATCAGGGAGGCCCCTCTTTATCCGTGACCAGAGGTCTCAAGAGCCTATTCCCAGACTTGGCAGCGGGAACCCCTGATCCAACCCTCCTATCCCAGAGCGTGGAGAAGAGAGCGGAGGCGCCTGTCCTGATATCAAAAGCAGAACGTGCACTGGTCGCCCCACTGCCGGGAGATGTGGCCTCAAGTGTCCAATCATCCTCCAGACTCGCCAGATCAGCTCCAGCATCCCGACACCCCCCCCCCCCCCCGTGCTTTCCGCCCCTTGAACCCGTGTCCTGGGCTCTCCTGCGACATCCCCAGGTGCACTCAGCTCCCTCCACCTGTTACACCTGTCTCTGTGTTCCCTCCCTCCTATGTCCCGGGTCACTGGCTACGCTCAGGCTCCCTCATGTAGCTTCCCGATCCCTCCGCGCTGTGGTCCAATGTGTGTGTTTGGGGGGGAGGGCCTCCACCTTCATCTCGCACCCAACTTATCCCACAATACGCAAGTGCAGCTCTGAGTAACAGCAGAGGAGCCCCAGGCTCCACAAATTACCTGGGCCGCGCCGCACCTGCGCAGAAGGGCACCCAGGCAGAGTCTTCCCAGAACCTCTTGCGCGAGCCCCCTACGCCCACACAGACTACATCTCCCACAAGCCTCTGCGCCGGTTCCGGCAGGCGCGAAAGGGGAAGTTTTGTTTACTATGCGCTAATCAACCCGGCGCTCTAGAAGCATCTGAGTTGACAGATGAGAGCCCCAACCTGGTTCATTATTAAATCCTGATTTCACAAGCAGAGAGAACGTGCGTGATAGGAAAAGTTAGAATTGCGGCAAACTTTCCATATTAAATGTGATCTACTTGTTTTGGTTCTGATAGTGGTAATGACTATAGAACCCGCATCAATTTTTGCTGCCAACTGAAGTCTAGATTATGAAAATCACACTGTCTGCTTTTAAACCAGTGTGGCAATTTGAAACTGCAAAATTAACTTTTGTTGTGTGTCCGTGGCTAGCGTGTACAGGGGGAGCGTAGTTCAACAAAAGACCACATAGATTTTAAAAGCAGTACAATGCGTACATACACCTCAGAGCCGGTCACAGGGTTAATGCAGTGTACAGTCAGAGACAGTGTGGAAGGACCCATAGCCGAGGACCACCATCAGGGTCCAAAGTTGATGTGCTTTGGGGTTCCCAGGCAAATTTGATCAATTCAAACGACAGAGAGTAGATTTATGAGCACTGTGAAAAGGGATACCTTACCTAAGGAACAGGTAAGACGAAGGTCCCAGGGGTGGGTGAGATTATCACAAGAGCAACTGGGAAAGGCATCTCAGGAAACTAACTTTGTTTGTGACTCTGCAGATTGTTATCTATGGCATGTGATTGTGCGAAAGGAAGTGTATGTGGCAGGTCCAACAGCAGAAAATTGGAAGCCCAGGGCCTCCCTGGTGGCACAAGGGATTAAGTTGAAGACTATCAAGCTATCTGCAGCCACTACAGCATAAGTTTGATCCCCAGCCAGGGAGCTGACCCACAGGGTACAGCAGACCTCTCCCGTCTCCCCACAGCCGTGCATCTCCTCAATCTGCCTGTTCTGCTCCCAGGTCTGTCTCTCGTAAATCCTCTCACCTCCCCTGCCCCTCTGGCCTGTACCCCAATTCTGTTGCATAAATAAATAAATCTTTAAAAAAAAAAAAAGACCATTTCTATCACTCAGCAGCAAACAGGAGATCCTGGAGCTGCAAGGTGGTGATGGAGTGGTGGAGGTGGTGATGAGACTTCTGACACTGGGCATGCTGTGAGGACACAAGTGACAGGTTGCTGAACGTATAGCAGCAGCACAGCCTGAACCCAGCCCGGGTCACCCAGGTGCAGCCCCTGTAGCCACGTGTCCACTCACCTGCCTGCTGCAGAGGGAGCTCTGCAAGGGGGCTGGGCTCCAAAGCTGCGATCTTGCTCTGGGATGCTCTGGGCTTGCTGAAGACAGATGTGAATGTCGTGTGTGACTGGACCACTGACACTGGAGGCCAGTCACGGTGTGGGGCCTTCTGCTCTTCAGTGCAGTGAGGAGGGATCCCCCTACACACTTGCTCTTCATCTGGAATAAAAACCAATGCCCCAAAATGTGGGGGGTGTGGTTATGAGCATTGTGGGGGTGGCGGGGCTCAGGGATCACAAACCATAATACTCCAAAATTTCCAGGGCCCTTGCACAGAGGCAGGGTAGGGGGGCCTTGCCTGTCATTCTGTCTGCCCAGCACCCCTCTCCTTAGACCCTGGTGGTGAAGGAGCCAGGACAGGCTCAAAGCTGAACCAAGTTCTCAGCCCACGTGACCTGAGTTGGGTCAATCAGAATCCTTCCCTGGGACTTTGCCGCCTGCCGCTGGGGCGAAGTCCCAGCTTGCTCTGGTGGGGAGGGGCTGGGATGGCTGCCCAGAGCTGTGGTCACGTGTCCACTCACCTGCCTGGAAGCTGCCCAGCCACAGCAGCTAGACACATCTTTAAGTTGTTCCTAAGCCACACCTCCTCCCACAAGCCATACACAAGTCCCTCCTGCGAATAGTTTGGGCTGGGCTTCCCTCACTGGCAGCCAAGAATCCTGAGGCGTCTGGAGGCCGCGGGGACAGCAGGTTGCGGGAGAATGAAGGGAAACGCGCTCCCGCTCAGGCCTGGCGGAGCGAGCACACAAGTGGGTGAAGGCAAGGCTGGCCTGGCGGCTGTGTCACCACCAGAGAAGAAAGCTGAGTGAGCCTGGGGGCTCAGCCACCCCAGCCAGGCGTCTGCTCACCCTTCCCTCCCCTGGAGGGCAACTGCAGTTCTGGCCACCCGAGCGCTTCCAACAGCCACTAAAGGATCTCACATCAGAAGCTCAGGCACGTTTGTTTTTATTTTTAACTTTTTCAGATGACTCCAAAGTGTAGCTGGGGCTGAGAATCACTGCTCTGGCCCAATCAGGCAGACATTTTGGGTCTACACGTTACAGGTCACAGCGAGTGGACATTAGTCAGGAGGCTTGGGGAAAGGTTTCCACAGCCACATTTCACTGCTTCTGCCTGGGGATGGAAGGAGGAGTGGGAGGAGGTAGTGAAGAGAATCTGAGAGCCTCCATGGAACCGCAGCCCAGCTGAGTGTCCACTGTGCAACTTGTGACCTGGGTCAAGTTACTTTACCTCTCTGACAAACGCTACAACGTGCACGAACCTTGAAATCACCAGGCTAAGAGAAATGAAACTGATACAGAAGGACAAATATATGATTCCATTTATACAAGGTACACAGAATAGGTGAATTCATAGAGACAGAAAATACAATAGAAGTAACCAAGTACAGACAAAGAAAGTGGGGTGAGGGGAACCTACCAAGCTTGAGAGAAGAGGGCATGGAATTTGAAATCTGTCCGTGTTCATGGAAAGAAATAGTGATAGAATCCACGCAAACGAGAACTCCTTGGGATTCTCAATAATTTCTAAAGGTATAGAACAACCAACTACTTGAGAACCGCTGCTGTATGTACACCTGAGGTGAACCTGAGCTAAGCTGGCCCCACATTTCTCTGCAAAGATCTGCAAACTCCCAGGAATTAATTGCCAAATATGTAGTTTGTTTTCTCTCACGAAATAGATAGGCGACCTCTAGTGGAGACACAAGGTATTGCCCGACAGTGCAAATTTCTCTGTTGAGTAATTCGATTGAGTCCACCGGAATTCTATCAATAAAGCATTAGTAGACAGCACTGTGAAGCTGCTCGCAGCCACTGCTACACGAATTCGATCCCCAGCCAGGGGAGCTGACCACATGGAGCAACAGACGTCTCCTGTCCCTCCTGCTGCTCCCCTCAGCAGTGTACTTCGTCGATCTGCCTGTTCTGCTCCCCACTTTTTCTCTGGTGAATCCTCTCACCCTGCCCAGCACCTCTGGTCTGTATCCCAGTTCTTGTGTGTGTAAATAAATAAATTTTTTTAAAAATGAAAGAAGAGCTTTATCTCATATTAACTTTAAATCCTCTCATTCACACTCACACAATCACACACATACAACTAGATGCTCACAACACACACACAGATATGATCAAACACAGCCACCCTTACACACTCACACAAAGACCCACATACACACACAGATACTGCAACACACTGAGAGAGCCTCAGACAGGGACACCCACTCAGTCACAGAAACACAAATATACAACACTAAAAACAGCAAACCAAGGTCTCCCTGGTGGCTCAAGGCGTTAAGTGCAGCTCTATGAAGCTGTCCGCAGCCACTGCAGCACAAGTTCTATCCCAGCCAGGGAGCTGACCCACAGGGCACAGCAGACCTCTCCTGACCCACCTGCTGCTCCCCTCAGCAGTGTTTTTCAGTAGACCTTCCTGTTCTCCTCCCCACTTTGTTTCTGGTGAATCCTCCCCCTCTCCCCCCCACCTTTGCCCTGTATCCCAGTTCTTGTTTGCATAAATAAAGCTTTAAAAAAATTCATTAAAAGGGGACTTAGCAGATGAACGCCCCTATTTTTTAAAGATTTATTTATTTATGCATACAAGAGGTATGGGGGGCAAGAGGATTTGCCAGAGTGGGGAATAGAAGAAGCAGATGTACTGAAATACACTGCTGAGGGGAGCAGCAGGGAGACAGGGGAGGGCTGCCCTGTGGGTCAGTCCCTGGCCGGGAATTGAACTCTTGCTGCAGTGGCTGTGGAAAGCTCCACAGTGCTGAGCTTTAACCCTGTATGACCAGGGAGGCCGAAAAGTCACTATTTTTTAAACACTGTAATGGAAAATAAGTTCGCTTCCAAAGTTATTAAATAAATGTTGAGCAAATAATTAAGATGAATCTCAGTTTGGCAGCGTGCCCAATCAGAGGTCCATAATCCCTTAACGGAAGTCCTTGGGGACAGATGGGTTTCAGAACTCAGAATAGTTACAATTTTAGAACAGTGACTGGGAGCCGATGCCATGTCTTACATAACACTCCCAGGAACCTGAGACAGCCCCCTCCCCTTCAGAACTTGCTAAGTACCTGTAGCAAAATGCATGGAAAATCACCACAAAAAAAAATAGTGTAATTAACATCATTACTGCACTTATTTTTCCCTTTGTCCTTACTATTGTCTGATCTAACATTTATTTAAGTTATTCATCTTATTTCTGTGTCTCCTCACTAATGTCAGCAGCACTAAGGGCAGAAATATTCCTGTGGGTAGGGGGAGTGGTTAAGTACTGTGTCACTAGCTTTGTAACTTGGAGCTGATTACTCAACCTCCCTGGTCCTGTAAAAATGAATGTGTGTTGTTGTTGCTGTTGTTGTTTTTCACACAATAAAGGTTCCATAAATAGTTATCCAATGAAAGCTTAAGAGATAGCAACTGAGAGAGAGGCTGAGAAAAACAGCGAGAAGGGAAGACAAAGACAAAGAAAGGAAAGGAGATGGGAAAGTGAGGGGGAGAAGAATGGAGAGAAGAAATAGAAATCTGAGGTAAAGCACAGCAGAGATGAGAGTGAGTCAGACACACAGAATGCAGGCCAAAGGCAGACATTATTAAGAGACATCAAGGAGAGATAAGAAACATACAAAGATTGGGAGACAGAGAAAACGAGAAAGGGGAGAGAAGGTGGAGAGGAAGCCACTCAGTCCCTGATTTCCTGCACTAACTGGACAGGGCTGCTATTTCTGGTGCCCCCTTACGTCCAAGGCACCAGAGGGGAGGTAGAGGAGTGGCTGGCATTCCCAGCTGTCCAGTCTAAGGGAGGAGACTCAGCTTCACTCCCCTGAAAAAGCCTCTAGTTGGTGGGAGGAAACAACAGAAAAACTGCCTCCTGCTGGTAGAACCCCATGTCCTGCTCAGGACAAGGCCCCAGTTTTCCAGGTGGGAGAAGACTCACCTACATGTGATTTTTTCAGGACCTAGACCTGAGGTTCTCCGTCTTCGTTTACCACAGCACTGCGGACCAGAGAGGTTGCATTAGTCTTGAAAGACAGCAAGATGCCTGACAGCTTGTTTTCCAAGGAGACAAAGACCCACCCTCATCTCTCTGACCCCAGGAGGAAGAGTCCCTACCAGCTGCATCCTGACAGCTTAGGGTAACAGCCTCTCCCCAATGTTGTTAGTCTACCAACAGCAACCCCCCAGGACCCCAGTTCTTGTTGGAAGTCATCCCACCTTCCTGTCTCCTGTACTGCAGCAGGAGGGCAGAGACCCTCTGCTTTCCTCCAGGGGAACTGGTGCCATGCTCAAGCATGCAAAGAATTGTGCAGTCCCTCCCACTGACCTTCAACTGCCCTGTCACAGGTAAGGTTCTTCTCCCCACCGCAACCCCAAAGCCACATGAAAGCAATGTAAAACGCACCCCCTCTCCCCAGGGAAGGGGAGAAGCCCACACAGACTACCCAGGGCAGAAGAGACAAAGACTAGATGCCAGGAAGAACTTCCACTCACAAACTTAGGAGGGAGGCACCTCTGCAGACAACACGAAAAGACAATAGCACAAGGCAGTTGGGGTTGGAGTTTATTGTAGAAGGACAGATGGACACCGAGATTCAAGGAGGGTGGCAGCCTGTGGGCTCAAAATTCTACGAAGACCACGAAGATCACGAGGCAGCGGTCAGGATGGGGTCAGCCAGATGGTGGAGGGCCCGCCTGACAGCGGAGTAGCTCCGAGGGGCAGCTCCGAGGGGCGAGGCCCCAAGCCGGCCTCTCTTCGCCCCATTCTTCAAGGTGATGGCTTTGGAGACGCTAGGCGACGTCATTAAGAGGTGGCCCGGACCCAACCTGGGAGGGCGCATCCGCGGTGGGGGTGCCGGGCTCTTACGTGCCGGTGGTCCAGGCTGGAGTAAAAGGGAGGGTTACCCCGGTGCTCGGCCGTCCGCGGCCTCGGGGGTTTCTCCAGGAGGCTGGCGGCTCGGGTCACTGTGGCGGCGGCGGCGGCGGCTGCGCGGCAGCTCAAGCTGGGGTCGCGGCCCGCTGGGGACTCCCAGGAGACAGGAGACCGAGGCAGCGGCGGATGCCGGCGCAGGCGGCGCGCCCGAGCGGGCGGCGC